ACATGCATAAATACCCATACATATTTCATATTTTTCATTTCCGGCATGTGGAAATCTTTAATTTCTGTGCATTCACTATATTTTTCGAGTAAAGTAATTTACACTAATTTTAAAATGTACATGTTACAATAATATGTGGATGTGAAAAAATTTATTTTATTTAAAACATTTTGGCGTCTGGAACATAAAATAAAAGTAGCGAATACTGTATTAAGGGTATCGAAAAATATATACAATTTTAAAGGTACGGTGAGGTATTTTTCATTCTTTAAGCATAACCTTTTTGCTAAAATCTATATTTTTATAGTTCAATAGCTTAGAATTTTACAAACAAATTCATAATTAAAATCGCTATTGTTAGTTATCGAAAAATAACCAAGATGTGATTTTTACGTACATGTCGCTAAACTATACAAATTGCTATTATTCATCATACTAGGAATGTTTCTTTTACGCGGAAGTGTCCCGTTTTTCGATTTGTCGTGTGTTGAAATACTATCAGAGCGCTGTTAAGTGAGCTTCTGAATGTAAACAAAAAACACCCCATCTGGTGACCGAAGCTTTGGAGCCGTCCTTCACTTCTAATGCCGATTTGGTCACTCCTTCCTTTCTTACCTCCATGGAGGTAAGGAGGGGGGAAATACCTTACTTTCTCCTAGACATAAATGGAAACTGGGGAGTAGGAGACCCAGGCGTCAAATACGGGCGTCCACTATCTTTTAATTCGGGAGCCACTTGTACAAACCATTTAGAGGTATAGAGTTTAGGCAATTCGTTATGCTGTCGCCGCTGACTCGATCTCCAGTCCTTCTGATTGCCAGCCAGAAGTCATGATTCTGATTGCTAGCAGGGAGCTTCTGGTTGCTTCCTAATTATTTCGAAGGCATGCGGTAAGGAGGGAGAAAACTTACATTCACAGAAATTTTACACGCGTAATGAAAGAAGCCTTCCAGCTGGCAACCGAGAAGTCCGGTGTTCGAATCCTGGCGAGAACATGTGAATTTTTTTCAACTTCTTGACATTGAAAAATTCTTAAAAGACTCTACAAGTGGCAAAAAAGGTGGTAAAGGAAGATAATTAATCAAGCACCAGGATTTCGTGACTGGGTCTTCTCACCCTCAGTCGCCCTTTAGAAAGGTGAGTACATAAGGTATTTTTTTCCTCTTTTCCACCTGCCTTTGTGGTGCAGTTGAAAGCACTCCGACTAGTAATGGGCGCCTCTGGAGGAATTTGTACTTTTAATAAGAAGTATTAATTTCACTAAATAAAAATAATGTAACTGAAGGATGGTACAAAAAGTTAAATTTCGTAATTTTTATAAATTAATTATTCTTAAATTTAATATCGCCAAAACTTAAATAGTTGTATCTTTAAAACATTTCTGGAATTGGAAGTATATATCTTCACCCAATTGTTGCAAAAGTAAGGGCCGGTTAAGGGCTTTTGTGGCTACAGTGTACTGACACATTCAGTGAACACTCTCGTGGTGACTATTCACAGTTGAAAACATCGCAGTAAAAACATAGCGGACGAAAATCTCGCTGAGAAAACAACGCAAGGCGAAAACGTGATGGTACAAAACATCATGGGAGGGGGAAAAAGCAAAGAGATAACATCGCATTTCTAAAACATCGTGGTACAACATATCGTGGTCGAAAAAAAAAAGAGGTTCAAAAACTTCTCAGTTTAAAAACATTGTCGTCAAAAATATTGTGGTAAAAAATAAAGCACCTACAAATCATCGCATGATAATAACATTGGACACATGCGTTTTCAGCTTTTAAAAGTTATAAATGCTTATTCGCATAAAGATTTAGAAGTGCAAGAAATGTTAACCACACTTTAAGAATAAACGGAAACAAAACAAGATATAATTTTCAAAAAAACAATATCAGATTAACAAACGTGAAAGAAAGCAATTTGGTAATTAACGAAGCAACTTTTACAGAGGTAACCTCATGCAGTTATTTATCTGCCTTTTTCTAAACATTTTTAGGCTGTAATTTTCATGAAAAATTATGAATAAACCTTTACAAAAAAGATTAATTTGTAAATTAACTATGTACATTTAAAATTCTATGAAGTACTGCAAGTTGCATTAATTTTCTACTCATTTTCAATTTTTAAATGCTCAAGTTTCCTTCTTACTTTTCAGCAAAAATTTATTAGTTCATTCAAAAGTATGAAATATATAAATAAAAATATCCCTCTTTCCTTCTTGCGCTCGCAAATCATTTACATTGTATTTACAGCTTTTAAAACCTGAGAAATGCATGTGTGCGATGCTATCGTCATGCGATGACTTGTAGGGTTTTTTTTTTTTTTTTTTTTTTTTTTTTTTTTTCTTTTTTCACGATATTTTCGATGACGATGTTTCTAAACTGCGAAGTTTTTGAACCGCTTTATTTTCGATTACGATATTTTGTACCACGATGTTTTACAACTGCGATGTTTTCTCTTTGCTTTCTTTTCTCCTACGATGTTTGTACTTCGACGTATTCGCCTTGCGTTGCTTTCTCCGTGACGTTTTCGTTCGCGATGTTTTTGCCGTGATATTTTCGGCGGATACCGTGGTGACTACTTCCCTAGTGTTTATTGTTGTTGCTGTTGCTGCTGTTGTTGTTGTTCCTTTTAAAGCAAATTCATACGTCAGAAAAAAAAATTGTGTTGGAAGAAATTTTAAAATAAAGCAGAAATAAACTGTAAACCAATCATACTGGCCTATTTTTTTCTCAATATAAAATGCACTTCATACTTTATTTCAAATTTTAATACTGCAAGCCATTGTTTGCAGTAGTGTTAGGTAATAAATTCACTTAAAAAAAACTATTTTCCCCTCTAGTTGTCTCAACAACATGAATTTTATTTATCTCGAATATCTTTTGCCCATCGCATGCATTTCGAGGTATCGATATTTCGTTTCATCTTAACACGCAACTGTCAGCATTTTCAGCTATAAAATAAAATGAGACTTTCTCTATAAAGTGGCTGACAGCCTAACACATAGTTTGCAGAAAGAACCTATATTCTTCTTTCGTTCTATTTTTTAAACTTAAAATAAATAATTTATTTTATTTTTGTGAGTAGTACCTTGATTTAGAAGAGCTTTTTGCTCAAGCAGAAGTTGACAAATGAAAGAAATCACTAACTCGGTATTCTAGTGTATAGTCATCCATGGAGATAAGATCTTTTCCTACTTTCATAACAGATATTCTTCTCACGCAGTTTCCAGCCTTGCCCAGAGAGTATGCATATAAGCTTTCGTATTATCCAGTACTCATTCATTATTTGATTCGCTGAAACTGTACAATTCTATATCAAATATTTCCAAATCTACTGAAATATTAAAACTCTATGAAAATGTTTAATTTCATCCAATGCTGTTTTTAAAAGAAACAAAATTTCAGCGTGTACAACTATACTATCCTACGTATAAATGGCTGTAATATACATGTGTTTAATATAGAAGCACTTGTTATAGATAACAATCTAATAAATTTATAAGTTACTCATTAAGAACTATTTAAGTCACATTAAATTAAACTGACTCTAAGGAACATCATAATAATAAATTTCAAAATTAATAAACTTGTAAGGATTTTCTCCTTTCTTACCGCAAGTCTTCGTGCAGCGACTGGAAAGCACGTCCAGTTAGCAATCAGAAAGACTAAAGTTCGAGGCACAGTCTTCTAAAAATCTTTATTTAAACACTGCGCCAAACACACGACTGCTCAGGTTCGTCAATGGCAACTGAAATAAATAGGATTGCTGGATGCTAAGTACAGAATATCCCGTAGTCTAATAAGGTTTCATGTGGTTGTATTATACAACATTTCGAGTCTCACTAAATCAGTTCCTAATGCAAATGCAGATCATAAAAGTTAAGGAAACTTACGCATATATTTGCTATTATTATACATTTTAAACTAAAACCTGATCAATATTCGGTAATAAAAATAGAAAATTTTCTAAAATATTTACAATAATAATACAAGGCATAGTTGATTGCCTCATCTTCCCTGTTCCAAATGGCGCCTGTACAAGTGGCGCCCGAACTGAACATGGTGGACACCATTGTCCAAATTCACCATTGTTCGTATTTGGCGACTGGATCCGTCCTCCCCAGTAGCTCTTTAAGTGGGGAAGACTGTAAGGTTTTCTCCCTCTTTATGCCTTCCTAACGTAAATATAGAGCACGTCCGGCTAGTAATCAGAAGGTCCGACGTTCGAGTTCCGATTATTGATTGTGCAATCTTTCCTGCTACAAAAAATTCTAAAACACTCTTAAATATTCGCTTACAAACATCAAAATAATAATTAATAAATTTTAAAAGAACATGGGAGCACCAGAATAATAAATTCTGGGCGTTTCTAAGCCTTTTCTGAATTTTAAATTATGCAAATTCACAGATTTTTACCAAAGTTCGTAATGTTCTCTACCATGTACAATATAGTAGATATTTTATCGCGTTGTTAGATTAAAAAAGTGCCTATTTAATACAGATACAGTATATGTATGCATCTAAATTTGCGTAACCAGTAAAATCTAAAAAACTCATTTGCAATTATTACTTTAAAAAAAACTATAGTTTCAGGGAGTTTTAAAAGAAAGGGATGTCATGTTAATTTATTTATTCATTCGTCAATCAATTATTTTTATTTAAAATCCAAATTGTAGAATTCCTAGACATTTTACTTTTGCTGATGGTGTAGAATTAATTAAAGATTATTTCATGTATTCTTTTATAAATGTTTCACGTGGTTTCCTTAAGGACGAAATAAAACGAATTATAGGTACAGTTGTGTACATATTTTTCTTAATGAAAGCAACTATTAATAAACAAGAATGTATATGTGTGTGTGTGTATTCTTTATAAAATAGTTTCTATAAGAAAAACTGAACTAAACTGTTATTATTTAATAACTGTCGCGTAATAAATGCACCTGCCTTTCAAAACAGGATCTTCTTTAAACACTGCGCCAGACATACGACTGCGCAGGTTCGTCGGTGACAGCTGAAATAAATAGGATTGCTCTGGATGCTAAGTATAAAATAACCCGTAGTCTAATAAGGTTTATTGTGGTTGTATTATACAGCATTGCGAGTCTTGCTAAATCAGTTCCGAATGCAAATGAGGCACATAAAAGGTAAGAAAGCCTACGTATATTGTCGCTATTATTATACATTTTAAACTCAAATCTAATCAATCTTTGGTAATCAAAATAGAAAATTTTTCTAAAGTATTTGTTATAATGACACGATTTTTAATCTTTGGCACGAAATGCTGATTAAAACAGTTTGAGTTTTAAAAAGCTATATAGGAAGCTTAAGAGTATTTATTACAGAACAACGTTTTTTTAAAGGAAATTAAATTAGAAGTTTTATCCGATAAAATAAATAACGCTTCACGGAATCGAGAAAGTGTTCTTGCTTTAACTATTCATCGTTGCCTTTTTCTTCGTAAACTTCAGTTTTAGTATTTATTTTATTTCTCGATATAAATTTCTACATAAATCTTGGTATAGTTTTTAACTATTATGAAGTTAAGCTATTATGAATCTTCAACATGAATGAATAAACTACAAATTTCAAATTCATAGCTATTCAGTACTTTCTTATTGTTATATTAACATGAGAGATCCTCAGAATGCAAAGTGAAAATTTCCATTCTACTTGCAAAATATATAATTTTTTTAAAGTAAAGGATATTTATGAGTTTTTAAATTACCTATTTTGCGTGTAGGAGTCCACTAGGTTTTCGAAACTGTGAAATTTGCTTATTTCAGATATTTGCTTATTTAAAGAAATCCACAGAGCTATTCTTTTATCTCCCTTCCATCTTTGATCAATTAAAATAACATATCATATCGTCTTTGGGAATGAGATAGCATCTTTGGTAATAAAATAACGTAATACAACATAGTGAATGAAAATAGCATATCATACACTAACTTAATGGCAATCGTGAATTATTTTAGACTCTTACCGAGTAAGATTTGATTTATTATATTGAAAAGCGATTATTAAACTTTATTATGTGCATTGACTATGCAGCATGTATTTAATTGCTCACTGAGTAAATGCAACTTTGGAAAAGCAGCAGGATGTCATCGAAGAGTCAAGAGAAAGCTAAAATTTAAATGTTCCGAATCTTAATTTCCAGGGTGGTATAGTCACATATCTTGACAACTGACAGTCATCTTACATTTTAAGCCTTAAAATGAGATATTTGAGGCTTTAAAAGTAGCTGATATGTTTCCAAGAAATTCCAGACGTAAAGGAAGCTAAACTTTTTATCAGTAGAAAATGCAGTGATTGCATTTAACAAGAAGGGAACTGAGACGGATACTTTGTGATTCCATAATGAGCAATAACTCGAAAGGTAACCCAGCACAAATTAAACAAATTAAAATAAAAATTGCAGTGGGAAAAAAAATCTAAATAAAAAGAATTTAATATGTATAGATTTGAAAAAATAAAAATCAAAGAGTAAATGCAAAAGCAACCAATATAAAGGTAATATGCTTAAAAAATTAATAATGATATTATATAGCATGCACAGATAGGCAGATTATGCGGTAATATGCATAGATTATGCGTTTCGAGAGACCCTACATTGTCTCTCAAACCGCATAAAACTTTCCCAACATCACCGTCAATCCAAATTAAATTTTGTCTAAATTTAATACAAATTTATAATTTTGGAATTTTCTTAATGTGTTATTCGCCATATAAAAAAGAAATATATATATATATTTCATCATATAAAAAAGAAATATATATGTACCAACAGCATTAGGTTTACAAATTGTATGTGTAATTATACATTTAAAAATTTCATCAGTCCAATATATACTTTTGTTATAAGTTTCAGCTTGACATATAGTTTTGATCTAGCTTTACTTGTAACAGAAAGAGATAAAAAATATTTTTATAATATTAGAACCCAAGTGTGTAAGGAATTAAGACGCTTTTCCCATATGTTGTTGCGGCGTAACTGAAAGTATTTTGAAGTTCCACTGCTCGACTTCAGGCAAAAGTATTGGTTATGTTCTGTTATTTCTCTTTTTAAATTCATCTTTTGACATCTGCTGCTGTTCCAGAGCAAGATGCGGAAAAGGTGGAGTATAAGATTGAGGATTAAAAAAAAAAAAAGAAAAAAGAAAAAAAAATCCTGGAAGTCGATCACAGCATCTTCAAACACCTACGTAGATGCTCTGACTGTTACTCATAACAGCGTATGGGTCAAGATATTTAACTTTTCCTTACAAGTTCCTATTTTTCAGTTCTGAAGTGTAAAAAATAGTATTCCCCCCCCTTGGCTCATGGAGGTAGGAACCTTCTTCCTACCTTACTTCCTACCTTCATGCCTTGGCTGGTTAGAAAATTGTATTACGCATTAGAAAGCCCTTCCCGCCGAGCATATGGAATGGGAGCTTAGCGTGTACTAGATAAAATTGCGTCTTGGGCGAAGTTCTTGTTGGTCATCTAGTATACAAAACCTAAAGTAAAACTAATCTACCAGGTAAAAAGAATGAGCACACCTCTTGTGTAAGTCTAAGGGGCAAAAATGTTCCAATAGCCAGGCAGATCGATTATCTTCGTATTATAATTCACGCTATTCTGTCGTGAAAGTCACATATTAAAAACAGACTGGAAAAAATATAAAATTAAAATAGACTCATCACATGTAGTATAAAAAATCTGATGTGTACACCACATGACTTCCTTGCACGGAATATTAAATTGTACGCATTTTTTCTTGCATTTCATTTAAACTTAATGGAATGAATTAAATCTACTTTGTCGATAGCGCATAAACTACAATACAATAAATGCACTCTTTAAAATTCATTATATTTGTTTACCATAGCTACACTTTGGCGCTAGTTTCACTTAACAGCGTTATATTTCGTTCATATTATAACTCAGAATTCACAAAATTTATATCATTTGAAGAATTATCTAATCGTTGCCACATGTTCTCTTCAAATACTCTAATATATCTAGAACGATGTATAAATTAAATTAAACAAGCAAAACAAAAAAGAAACAGTTTTTCACAGACGATTCAGTATTTCTCATTCAATTAATTCAGTTCTCACTTCGCAACAAGGCAAAAATACATAAAAACTCAAAATATCTATATTAAAAATTACGAAGTAAATCTTAAACACTTATTTTCACGAAAAAATTCCAGAAAGGATTAAGCATGATTTAATTCGCAATAATAAATGAAGGCGTTATGTTAGTTGCTGTGAAGCTTAGTTTCTCTAGATTGGCAACAAATCTACTATTCTGCTGTTTCAAATGTAAACAAACATGCCCGCCATGTTATTTAAAAATAGGCTTAACCGCACTTAAACAGCTTTTAAATTGTTGATAATTCTACGACTATCGCATGCAGAATAACTAAAGGCATAAAAACCTTAACCAAAGATACGAACAACATAATTCAATCATTTTTAAAGCAAAAAATGCACAATGTACAAACATATAAGAGTAAAGAAACTGAGATCACTGAGCCTGATCACAGTGTAGATATATATATTTATATACGTTTGTTGCGGCCGATTGCAACTATACGAGGTGCACATCTACATGTTATAGTTCCTATATACAAAATTGCAACGTTGTGAGGCTACTCTTTTTTGAGTTATGCGGATACGTACGTACGCACGCACATACGTACGTACAGACGCCACGAAAAATTCCCTTCAGAATTAATTTCAAAGCAGTTTTATAATTTTTTTAGAGGAAACGAATCTTTTTTTCTGTCTTTACGCACAGATGTTACGCAAAAACATCGTTAAATTGCATTCGATAGCTGTCAAAATGGATATTTTCGTTGAAATATGCTGCCTGAAACTTTTCGCGATTACAATACTTCCTTTTTACTTCGTACAAGGAAGTAAAAATGTAGACTGACCACGTATTAAAAATAACTACAGTCTGTTCAAAACAGACTGGATTTGAAAAATAGACTGGAGAAAGCCACAAATACCATGCTTCGAACAATAAACGCAAATTTAGGGAGTATTATTGCAGATACCAAACGTTTCATACAAAAGAGTCGCACAGCGAGCGGCGCTACATTGTACTTCTTCAGCGTAGGACCATGGTACTTCAATGCACCTATGAATAGTACGCCTTCTTAGACTGCGGCCCACCAGCGGTCGAGCGGTAAAGTAGCTGAGCTCTCATAGTTCGGTCCAGGGTTCAAATCCCGGTGAAGGGTCTGGTTGCATGGGTGTTTTCGTATTTTTCCCAGTGTTTAAAGTGCATACGACCCAGTTTCACGAAAGCATCCTCCCCTAGATAGATAGCCCTCGAGGCTTTGACATAATCACACACAGACAGACAATGTTATTCCATGAGCAAACAATACATGCAGGTACAGACTGAAACGAGGCCGGCTCCTGTGCATTACCGGCATTGCCGGGTCTTGCTAAATGTTAAGCTCCACCTCAGTTCAACGACACCAGGAGGGGTCGATCTTCGCGTCTTCAAATCCTCTTTCTTTGGCACCAGTCACTCCAGAGAACTTCAGCTCGCCATGTATTTTTAGTGCCTCTTGTCACAACACAATATATATTTACAAGCAACCACGCCTTCTCCGGAATTCAAACTTGGGCCCATCGGTAATAATCACTATATCGTTTGGGCAGCAAATAATATATGACGGTAGACATAGTATGTAATAACAGCCTGGACTGGTTGCCACCGATGCAATGCCAATGGTGTTGGTCTAATTCCTGCACCCACCAACATTTCTGTATATAACCCTGTAGACAGGCACATTGTCTTAGCTGAACTATATAAAATTTTACATGCACATGCGTCTCTATGCGTTTATTATTTGGAAATTGGTTGGTATTTGTTAATGGATTTATGCCATTAACAATGTTAAACATTAATTTACGGGTTAGGTTACTTTGCTTATATAATGGAAATCACATGAGGGTATCTGTCGAAGAGTAGGGATGCCTTCGTGGAGGATTTTCTAAGAGTAACTAGCTCGTGTTCACGTTACATATGGAGTAAACCACGAAAGCACCATGCAGAGCAAAATCAGTACTTACAATTTCAAACTACTATGAACGTTAAACACAACGCACTGTACATACCACTTCAAATTACTAAAAAC